AAGAGTGAAAAAATTGGGTTTGTTTAGTTTGGAAAAGAGAAGAATGAGAGAGGACATGATAACAGTTTTCAAGTACGTGAAAGGTTGTTACAAGGAGGAGGGAGAAGAATTATTCTTCTTAACCTCTGAGGATAGGACAAGCAATGGGCTTAAATTGCAGCAAGGGAGGTTTAGGTTGGACGTTAGGAAAGACTTCTTAAATGTCAGGGTGGTTAAGCACTGGAATAAATTGCCTAGGGAGGTTGTGGAATCTCCATCATTAGAGATTTTTAAGAGCAGGTTAGACAAACACCTGTCAGGGATGGTCTAGATCAGGGGTGGGCAAACTTTTTGAGGGCCACATCGGGGTTTTGAACTGTATGGAGGGCCAGGTACGGAAGGCTGTGCCTCCCCAAACAGCCTGGCCCCTACTCCCTATCCGCCCCCTCTCACTTCCCACCCCCCACAGAACCGCTGACCCATCCAACGCCCCCTGCTCCTTGTCCCCTGACCACCCCCTCCCAGGACCCCCCCCCAATTGCCCCCTGGGACCCCACCCCCCCTCAAACCTCCCCTGCTCTCTGTCCCCTGACTGCCCCAAGTCCTATCCACACCACCACTCCCTGAAAGGCCCCCCGGGACTCCCACGTGTATCCAACCACTCCCTGCTCCCTGACTGCCCCCTATCCAAACCCCCTGGTCTCCGCCCCCTTACCATGCCGCTCAGAGCACCAGGACTGGCAGCTGTAAGTAGTACACAGTAAGTAGCACATTCCTACGGGGAGCAATTTAATACACTAGACCAGCAGCTCTTGCAGCTGTGCTGCCCGGCAGGCGCTCGCCGCCCAGAGCACTGGTGGCATGGCGAGCTGAGGCTGTGTGGGAGGGGCCAGGGGCTCAACGGTCCGGCAGGACAGTCCTGTGGGCTGTAGTTTGCCCACCTCTGGTCTAGATAATACTTAGTCCTGCCATGAGTGCACGGGACTGGACTAGATGACCTCTCAAGCTCCCTTCTAGTCCTATGATTCTGTGATCACTTTGAGACTTCCTGTCTGGATTCTAATTTTCTGTGGAGATTATACCAGTGAAGTACGTGACACTTTTTTAGAATTCACAATGGGTTAATACAAATAATTTTATGTCACTGGCCTGGGCCCTTCCAAATCCTCATTATCTGTATTGTACGGTTTTCTCTTTTGAATATTTGTATGTTAAGGTGGGTGTTTCTTTTTGTATCTAAAAATTAATTGTGGTGTGTGTTTTTGTGGGCTACCTTTCAGAACATTGTCCGATATCACAAACGTATTGGAAGCACGATATATACCCCATAGTTTTAAGCAAAGAAAAGTTTGTATTCCCACATTCCTGTGTTTGCTCAGCGAAAGAGCACCAGAGTTGACAATGCTGGAGAAAAATGGTTTACTCTCAAACTGGTGAAGAGGGTGCATGAATAACAGGGGGAAATACTATCATTAGTTCAGATTGGTCACATTAACTTATTTGCACCGATTTGTTCACACTGAGGACAGTGGAAGAACTATTGAAAGCCTGAGGGGAATTCTCCCACCCATTGCTTAAAACGTTTGCCCTGTTTTAAACATAAATGGTCTTACAAAACAATGCCTGCAACCACTAACGTTCTGGAGTAAGCAGTCTGCAGAGATTGTAGGCCTGAGCCCTTTGTGAACTGTTTGAAACAGCTTGATAGATTTTGTTACTGATTAGAAAATAGGGTCATCTATAAATTGCATCTTTAATTGCAGCTGTGGATAGATTTACTTGATAAATACAAGAGGAATTTAATTTTTGTGTAAATGTGGATGATTTGGAAACAATGATGTAACATGGACTCAAAACTACGTTGATTTTAAAGTCAAATTCATTTGTTTTATAACTAAACATACATTAAAGGGAACATTAATAAGGTTCAGAGGGGTAGCATTGTTAGTCCGGATCTGTAAAAGTGGCAAATAGTCCTGTGGCATCTTATAGACGAACAGACATATTGGAGCATAAGCTTTCGTGGGTGAATACCCGCTTCGTTGGATGCAGCGGTATTTCGTCTGTATTCACCCACGAAAGCTTATGCTCCAGTATGTCTGTTAGTCTATAAGGTGCCACAGGACTCGCCATTAATAAGATTGTTAATCTTTATTTGAATTCTTGACTCATTAAAAACATTTAATAGTTATTTAAAATAAACATTTAGAATTTGGAAAGTTTATTCTTAGCTACAGATGCTGCAGTTTATGATATATATTCACACCATCATAAAAACAACTTGGAAAGGGAGGCAGTTTTATTTTTTTTAAAAGTCCAAATATTAATTTATTACAGATTAAAACACAATGAAGCAATGGTTTTGAAGGTTTCAAAATAATGCACTGTCCATTGCAGTTATAAAATAGAAATAAAATGATGGAGTACTAGTTAATACCATTTTAACATAATAAACAATGGATAAGAAACACTATTAATGCCTTTTTAAAAAACAAACAGTTGTTCCCCAAAAATATGACTAAGTAGAACACTGCTCTTGGCATGTACATTTTAACAGTTTATAAAAGGGTTTAAAAATAAGACTTGCTAAATACCTCCTTTGTATAAAGGTACCTATTTTTGTTTTAGAAAAGCAATACATTTTACTGAAACTTAGGAAAGCTTCGGATAAGATATTATGTAAATACATTCAAACAGAACTGTTCTTCACAAGAGGCCCAGCACGCAAACACTTACTCATGTGGGTAGATGAACAGACGCAACTGAAGTGAATGAGATTACCTACATGAATAAGGAATGCTTGCATAACAGTTTATAGGATCAGACCCCACTGACATAATGAAACCTGGTGAGCTAATACACTTATTTATATTCTTCTAAATACTGTATAAATAGGTCAGATTTTCATTTAGTGTAAAATACTAACAGTTGTAGCTTCTTCAACGGCAGATAATTGCACTTAGATTATAGAATGAGTGCAGTTTAAAAAGACTTGTATCTCCACCCCAAATAATACTGTATGGGGCAACAGATCGCAGGTGGTTTTGTTTGCACTTTGATTATTTGGATTGTAAACTGTGATTGTAGCCTTAACTTCCTGCTCAGTGGCATTTCCAGCTGTATGTTTTATCATACTGAATATATCTTTTTTCCTGTGAAATGCAGAAAGTAAAACATCAAAGGTAAATGGAGAAAAAACAAACAGTGCAAGATAAAAATTATTGTATTCTGAGAATTTCTACAATATTGCACTCCGCCACACTGAAGTTACCAACCAGAATGCACCCAGAAGAGGCTGATCCAGTTTTAATTTTAGCTAATGGTCCTGATCCTGAAACTCAGTGAGTAACTGGGTGCTAAGCACTTTGCAAAATCAGGTCCTAACTATATTTATGTTTAACTAAAGAAAACAAATCTGAAAATACAAACTCAATTTTACACTCACATGAAATAAATTGCAAAACCTAAGGTCTGTACATATCACTTTTTGATAGGTACAAATCAGTATTTATCATCAGAAAAAGCAGCAGGGTAGGTTTTAGTGAGTTACAGATTATGTATTTTAAATATATGCATGAGATTACTCCATTTTTACTTCCCTCCTTTTAAGAACTCTCTGTTGTATAATGGAGCCTCATAAAAATAGTTAGCTGATTGTTCACATTACATGAAACTCAGCAACGAGGCAGCCTCTACCAGCCTGTAGTACACAGGGATTCATTGGTTTTACAGCAGATGAAAGGAGAACTGTAAACTGCCGATATACTGGTTCCCTACCTACAGTCAGTGGTTTTGATAACTGCCAGTTCTAATGCATTGAAAGCTGATGCCTCAATATCTTTTTCTGGCTCCCCCTAAACTCTCTAGAATACTGCATAGTCTCTGCCGTATAGTCTCATGTGCCTTGTTCAGCTCAGTTTTAAATTATTGAAATGACAGGTTTTCACTGCTTACTGTGCTCATATTCCACAAAATAATGCTAGAATATTTTTGCTGATGATGATTAAATGGAATACAAATACATGCAAGAGTCACACAATTAAAACTATGTATTAAATCATGAACCAACTATAAGCAAGAGAGACTGAGTGCAAATTAAGAAGAGTAATTGTACTCAGTGGTTTACTTTGGATGTTCAGTAGACTACCAAAGGAAGTAGATGAAGCTACTAGTCACCAAAGTATTTAAAACTGGATTAGATTCATATCTGGGATTAATAACAATTTTGGGTACAGCTGCCAAAGACTGGTTGATCCTCTAATAAAATGCAGTGGGGATGGACTAAAGTGATCAGTTGTTCTTGCTTCCTAATTTTCTGCATTAGTAGAATAGTTATTCTTAGCATAACAGTGAAACAGTTCAAGAACAGTTCATCTCTGCATAAAGGTTGTCTTGTAAGGCTGCCAAGGTCAGTAACACCCAAGGCAGTATGCCACATCTGTGCCAGCTGTGCAAATTAAAGTGACTTGGGCAGCTTGAAATCAGTGAAAATATTTCATTAAATACATCAAAAACTTTATTGGTAACAGATAGGAAGCCCCATTTATTAAGTGCACCAGCAAATATTTACTTATAAATCTACTGTTTTTATTATTGTCAGGTAAAAAATGCTTATGAAGTAAAAACAATCACATGCATAAAATGAGGGAAAGCAACACCGAGGTTACAGTGCATCCTAATGGAAACAAGTACCATTAAAAAAAAAAAAAAGACAGATGGCCAAATTCTACTCTTTGCTACATTTACTGGTGTAAATTCTGTTGAGCAGAATTGGGCCAAGAACATATAGTACTTGTCTAAGGATAATTTTTTTAAGAGCAGCTTTTATTGTTTACATTTTATAGTCAGATTTTTAATTTTCTTTATTTGTACATTTGGCTCATTGTTCAGATAAATCTGTTGACAATACGGAAAATATTTAAAAGTTTTCTCTCCTTTCAAAGAAGTTTGGCTGGCAATCTCAGGCAAATTTTTTTTTGGTCTATTTAAGAAGCACAGTGAATTAATTACTAGGACAACAATTAAATAAGAACAAATGAGAAGTTTATGGTGTTTCTCATTATGGTGACATGTCAGAAAATATACAAACTGAAAAAAAAATTGAAAATATGAAACTGTGTTTAAATAAATATTCTGTTGTTTTACAGAGATATTTCAACCATAAAAATACATGAGAGTTATCCATACTTCTCCCCCAAATGAACATCAGAAAAATCAGATTCCCTTCTCCCTGACATAAAGCTACTTATTTTGCTAGAAAACATATCCTCCAGGGGGCAGCATTAAACAACAGTTCAGTTGCCATGCAATCTACCAAAATCAACTATTTTGTACATCTAGTTTTGTTTATTGAATTTTCATACCAAAAGGATGCATAATTATATATTATGAAAGGTTATTTATGGCAGAGGCTGGCTGTTTGTCATGGCAATAAATCTGGAAGTGTCATGGCATAACAATACTTTAAGTTGTTTGCCATAGGAAGTGATGAGAATATTTAAATAAATACCATTTATTTTATAGTGAATTGCATAACACAATTTAGTGGTGTTTAGCTAATAGTTGAAAACTCAAACTCCACTACATGGTATGTAGAGAACACCAAAGTCCTGATCCTGTAGTTGGATCTCTGTTGGTGGAAGGGTCTGCCTGCAGAGGTCTAACTGCAGGATTGGGGCCAAAATTTGTAAAAATTCATGAAAGATCCTTGCTCCATCGTGGACTGATGCCAGTTTTACACCATCTAAGAATTTGACCCTGTGACTAAATAAAACAAAAACACAAACAAACAACAACAACAAAAGCAACCCTAAGAGCAGGGTTTCTGTCATGGAAGTCTTGGCCATAACAAATGTACAACCTTTTTATAGTAGATAACCATGGTAATATATCTGACAGGCTTAAAAAATATGGAATATGCTTAATAGATATTTTTGACATGGGTAGATTCCATCCTTTTCAGTTTTAGCATTAACAGGAATGACCAGTTCAAAAAGCACATATCAATGATTTGTTTAGTTAAAGACCATCAGACACCAAACATATGAAACTATAAAACTGAAAAACTGACTAAGAAACATTTTATCCTTTGGTTTTCTAGAAAACACATAAGAAATATTTCAGCTTTAGTATTAGGAGAAAACATTCATAGATAGAGATTTTAAATATACAGGAGAAATAAGTTCATCATCATTACATATACAGAAAATGTCAGCATCTATGAATGGATGAAAGAAAATAAAGTATTTGGCAACATCTTGATTTCTTGATCTAATTATCAAAAATAACTATCACGGCTTGGAAAGAAATATTTTCAGTTTGGAGTCAGTTTGGGTTTTCTCCCAATCTCTTTCCTAACTAGGAGAAACATTCCTTGATTAACCTCCAAGTACATAATTGCATCAACTGCAAACTACAGTTCCCCCCACAAGGGCAGGCTTAATCATCAGGTTGTTTAAAATGCTGGCAGTGAGTCAACCTCAGACTCCCAATGTCTGTATGCTGGTGGCACTGAACTGGAGCTTGCAATGATGGGAAATATTTGGAAAGTAGTCAAGGCCAGAGGATATCTTCCCATTGGGAATTATAGCAAGATCTCCCACCACTACTATAGCAATGGTGCAATCACACTGTTGCTTGCACCGACTGTGCTACACGAATGCTAGACCAACAGCGGAAGATTTCCCTAAAATTCTGCATAGACTAGGCCAGACAGGGCAACTGTACTGGAACTCTGTTAACAACAATTGGGCATTTAACATGACTGAAATGACAGGGTGCAGCATATGGCCAGGACTGTCCTGAACAACAGTGAATGAAATAAACCACTCTAGCTTTAGGGCTTGTTTACATTGCCCTGGCAAAACGCATTAGAAGGGTGTGATTTGTAAAGCACTCCAGTGTGCTGTACTCTAAATGCCCCATGTAGATCCCGTTGGTGTACTCTAAAAGATATCTAAGTTCGTGTTAACATAATCAAGCAGGAGTATGTTAATGCGAACTAGGGAACTGGGTGCGTAACTGCCCTTTGTGCCTTTCAGAATCTCCCCTTAAAGTGATAGCTAACCTCATGAATTAGAAATAATTATAATGCATTTTTATTGCTGGTTAAATTATATAATTCCTGTTTCTTGACCTATTAGTTTATCTGAGTTTTAATCAATATAATTATAGAGAAAAGTAAAAAATACAACATACATCTTTATAGTCTTTAAACAAAAAAAGACAAGTAATACAAAACCAGAGTGGCTGACAAATATAAGAAATAAAGTTAACTGCATATTCCTGTGAATCTTTTATGTAGTCCACATCTATCATGATGAGCTGTATGTCCATTTCAAACATTAATCTGTGTACAGGAAATGCTCTCTGTTGTCTAGGAGGCTTTCCTAAACAAATCCAGTAAAAATAATGCACCAAGGCATTGATGATAATTCATAGGCATAATTCTGAAACTTTCTACTATCTGTTTGGAGACATAAATGGAGAGCAGCATACAATACCGAGCACATTTATCCTTGTTCATTTTATTAGAGCTGGAATTAACTCTGCACTAGGTTAACTTGTAGAGGCAAAGCTCATTAATTCTTGCCTTTATCCCAGTATCCTCACTTCATCACAAGCTTGCATGTGCCCAATAGACTCAATGGAATAATGATCTAAACACAAGGTTTGTATCAAAACAATAAGCACCATAGGCACAACGTTTTGATGTTTCCTCTCTCTTTATTCTTTAGTTACATTATGCTACTAAAGAAGTGCATTGGGAGAAGCATAGAGATCAAAGGATTGCAGTGCTTTGCCATGCAACTTTTTCCTTTCAGAGCCAACTCTCCTCAGCCAGTTCTACAGCTCTGTCCAAGATGGGAACACCTTCCCCTCCCCCTGGGTGGCACGCTGCTACTCCACTCTGTACAGCTAGGCATGCAGCTGCAGCTCCTATCCAAGACGAGTGTACTTGATGGCTGTGCAATCACTCTAGGTTTCTCCAATCTGCCTGGTTACCTTACTACTCCTGTTCCCTCACCTACTAGTACATCAGTTACAAAATCAGCATGTCCTAAAAGCCTGGGTCTTGACCTTTTGGTTAATTAGGCTTTACCTGATATAGGCTCTGATGACCTGTTTACCAGTACATCCAAGTTTTGTCTATCCACTTTTCAATGTCATTGGCGTCTACTGCTAAGCCCTGTCCCCATCCAATAAAGAGAAACCATTAGGCTTTCTGGATGTTCTCATTTCTTCAAGAATGGAATGGAGCTGGTCAAGGTAACTTGCAGAATGGGATTACTGTGTCACAGATCACAGTTCACAGAGTATTTTTGAGTGGTTGTGTGGTATAGACTGAGCCTGAGTTCAAACTCATTTATAGCAAAGAGAGAGAAAGACAGGGAGAAGAAGGTGGAGGAAGAGTATGAGTATGCAGATCAAATTATACAGTGTTCACAAAACAAGCCCTACCAACCAAGGGAATTGAATACTGTATTTCATACTGTGACCTCTTCCAAGTTTTGGGATCCCCCCAGTGTAGCACTTTTAAGTGCTGTCTTGCTTTAGAAAAGACTTTAGCAGAGTTCTCACTATGCACTGAGCCTACGATAGCAATTTTTTAAAAAAGTGTGTTTGGCAGATGAGGTTTCCCAGGTTCTCTGGATTCTGCAGTAACAAAGACGGAATCCCCAGCAAGACTCTTGCAACTCTTCAGCCACACACCCCAGAAAGTTAAATGTATGTTTCTTCCCGAGATACAAGTTTTGTCATTAGTAGTTGAAGCATGCACAGATGGCCGAGTTCATCATACTGAGCCAAAACTTTACTATTTCCATCAGGGTGGGAGCATGTAGCAGCGAATGGGGTTGGCCTTGTTTTCTCTGCCCGCTGAAAGTCCTTTCACTCGGCCGGGTGACAAATGAGTTTCTTTCATTTCTAGGGCTGCATTCTTCTTTTCTTTTTTGCTTTCAGCCATGTTTTTTCACCCTTTTAGTGAGTGTGCAACAGAAATGAGAGTTGAAAGCCAAATTTAGGAGAGGGATCTCTCTCCTCCATGCTCTAAGGCACACTAGGCAACAAATTGTCTCAGTACCGTTAGTCCACACAGTAGCATTAGCAGCAAATACGATTATTCCCATCCACTGCAGCTTGTTTGTACATAAACTCCCAATGTTGCCATGCATGTCCTATGGGCTTGGGAAACTTTATAACATTTTTAAAGTCCATAAATGACAGCATCCAGTATAAAAAAGTTCAATATATTACTGTTGATTTTTTCTTTACAAAAATTAAAAGATCAAAATATGTCACATTATTTACATACTTTATGCTTCATGATTAGAGATCACTGAAAAAAAACACACAGACAGACAATGTTTTAATCACAAAGACAGGAATGTTTCTTTACACTCATTTACCACAAAGTAGTTAATTATTGTTAATGCTGTAAGAATTGATCCCTTTTGGCTTTTTAATATTAAACAACTAAATGAATCAACATAGAATTAAATACTGTTCTTTTAAGGCCCTGCCTACATTCTTGAGTTTGTAACCAGCTAGTGATGTGGTCGGCTTTGAACTTGATTTATATCCCCACATCACCTGGTTAAAATCTGATTGGTAGCTGAACAGTTACTAATGTCCCAGCATTGCCAGAGTGTTAGTCTGCCACATGCTTCTCTGCCTGTAACTAGTCTACAATACTGTCCTTTAGTGGTATGGAGAAAAGGCCCTAACCATACCCAGGCAATTGGTTTGGGCAGTCCTCCTTCCTAGCTGTCTTTGCATTAGGTATCCCAGGATGCACTGTTCTGTGTGCTGCTGCTCTTTTGTATGCATGTCATTTAGGTGCTTTATCCCCACTACTGAGGCACTATGGAATAGCTGCCCAGATTTTCCTAGAATGCACTGGTACAAACACTTTCAGGCAATGTGGTAGGTGTGGCCGCACTATCGTGATGGCAGAAAAACTCCTGTATCAGGGTGCTGGGGGTGCAGGAGCACCCCCTGCCTTGAAGTTGTAATAGCCAAATACAGGGTTACTGTTTTCAGCACCACCCCTATAAAATTGTTCCAGCACCCGTCCTGTATGAAACCGAATGATTTGTAACTTGGTTAAAGAGACCAAAACTCTATCTGGTTTCTAAATCATGGCTAAAAGGTAGAGTATGGGGAGGGTTTAACAGAGAACTGTAAAACTAGAATGAAAATTAAGTTAAACCCAGATTGCTGAGCCAACCACCTTCACTAATGAGGTGGCAGGGAACATTCAGCACACGAACAAGCTTTTCACCTTTCCCGATTCATTAAAGCTATCCCTGACAGTAATTTCACAAGCACTATGGCATCCTTGAAAACCATGGCATCTGTGCTGTCATAAAATGATACACTCTTAAAAATTGCTATATTCTCAAATACTTTGTGGTTCGTTGATGGCATCAAGAGGATTTTACATTGGGAGAAAATAATTTTAATACATTTATTTGAAACATTGCTGAGGAAGCATTTGGCACAATCCCTATTCTGCATTGCCTGGTTAGAGTGGGGAACATTTATTTCAAAAATCTGGGCTTCACTTAGTTTTCATTTGTGCAGAACAACTTCAACATTTAAATTTTTTTTCATTTTATTATATTTCCTAAATGGACTATATATACATGCTGAACACTCTCTGGGGAAGATTAGCTGTTTGGCAGGTGCAAATATTTGTCAGTGTAATTTAGGCAACTTGGATGCATAAACATCTAAGTGTGCCTACAAATCAGGTACAAAGAGCTCTAAGTGACCCAGGGCTCAAACCAACAAATGTTTGCACACTGAATAGCTTTCTTCACATGAATGATCCCATTCACCTAAATGTGAGCTACCCATATTAATCAAGTTACTAAACTAACTATGCACATGACTGGGTCCCTAAACTGCAAGTGCAAAAATGGAGCCCTGGTAAAGCCAGGCCTGAAAAAAAGCTGGCTCTTTATGGACCCGGTTTATGAGTAAGGTATTCAGCAATTGTCAGCTCTGGAGTTTCTTGCACTTCCTCTATAGCATCTGGTTCTACTATTGTAAGAGACAGGATACAGAAGTTCTGCTCTGAGCTGGTATGGCAATTTCTAAGTAAGGTACGTTCTCCATTGCACAGTTTAAATGAAGCTCAGAAATACAAACAAAAACTCAAAATGCAACAAAATTCAAACCACTGACAAAGCTGGGAGTTTCACTCTACCTTGTGCCAACATCCTGGTACTGGCAGTCCATCTGGTCCCTGAAAAAATTAATTCACAGGTATCATTTCTATTGGAAGTTACCTGACTTTCATGCTGAGAAAAACTCAGGCCATTCATCATGATGATGTAAGATTCAGCAGAACAACCGACAAAGACTGACTCTAATTACCATGCAAAAACATATATTTGTATAAAAACAAAAATACATATGCAAGAGAAACAATTAGTTATCAGGAGCAATAAAAAAACCTGGAATCATGGTGAATTCATTTCACAACCTGATTTAAAAGGCTGTGGGGTTTATGCGGTCAGAAGCATGTATGGAGGGAATTCTGCAGGAACACAGCTCTTGGTGGTTTTCTTGTTTTAGTTTTTTTTTTAAATGAAATCTCAGTTTCTCTTAGTCTGATCCTGCAACACTTAATCCCTTTGAGAAGTCCAGAGTCGTTCCACTGATTTCAATAAGATTTCACTTAGCTTGTAAACTCTCTGGGGCAGGGTCCATCCTTTTGTTGTGTTTTTGTACACCACCTCACACAGTGGAGTCCTGGTCCATGACCAGGTTGCCTAGGCATTACAGTAATACAAATAATAATGACTCATGGCGTAACAGACTACTCAGTGGGAGTATGCGTGTAAAGATTGGGCCTTTCATGCTTAGTTACTGACAGAGGTATCAGAGTCCTGTAAAGATCAGAATGGTGGTAAAGTTTGGCTATAGTGAGGGGAAAAAAATTAACCACGTGCATGTGACAAGCAAATTAATTAACCTATCCTTAGAAGGGAAAGGGGCTAGATGTGAATATGAACCAACTCTCCAGTTCAAAGCCACATTGGAAGAAATAGTAGATTAAGTCACCTATATATACTCTGTTTTTGGTGCTGGATTTTTAAAGAGCATGAGGTCCATCTCTGTGCATTTCTGCATATGTAATTACTGTGGGTGCGCATGTGAAAACTGGGTGTTCACACATAAGTCGGTAGAAAGGTAACTAATTAGCTACTGTGTGTGCAAATACCAGGTCTGTGTGCACAGTCATGGTAACTCTGGGTAAATATAAGTGAAAAATGCACATAGACTTTGGGCTGCTCCTTTTAAAAACCAGGCCGCTACTGCCCATCATTTCACAGCCTATTACTTATATTTTGCATTAACTTTCATAAGTTAAGATAACCTAACCTACATGAAGCCCAGTGTGACAGATGTGGCAGGGGAATGACACCCTCCCAACATTACGCATGTCATGATACACAGGTCATGCTATAGTAACACATCTTTTATATCATTACAGAGTGATTATAACATGTTTGGTCTTTGTGCTGCTTCCACATAAAACTTTGAATTTCTGATGAAGTACCTTTGAAAGAGAGCACTTCGCCAAACCATTTGAACACTGTATTTGCTAGAGGTAAATTCCTGTCCTCTGCTGCAGGGGGTATAGTGGGATAGGAGGAGCTTGGAGGATTGGAGTAGGAATCCCGCTCTTACATTCAGACGACCATCAGTCAAAGCCAACCCTGAGCCTACTCTGTGTTGTCCTGCACTTCCTGCTGGCAAGATGACTCAGGGTTCAAGTATGACCCATTTTCCTTCCTTGGCTTATTAAGTACAGAAAAGTCAGCATCTTGCCCCAGACAGGAACTTTTCATTAAAAATATACAACCCATATATTTATTTTGGCAATAATAATAATAATAATCACCTGCATTTATATTGCACCTTTCCTCCAAAAGGATCCCAAAGCACTTTACAGACGTAAAAACTAGTTTGCAAACACTACACAGGGAGCATGCTATCTACTCCTGGTCTGAAACCTGTTCAGTAGCACACAGCAACATTATGCAGCAGGTCAGAAAGTGCAGGATGACAACTACTCAAACGAAGGGTCTTGAAACAATAAGGTATAGGTTAATCCACCAGTGCCGCCCAGAGGATTCAGGGGGCTTGGGGCAAAGCAATTTCAGGGGCCCCTTCCATAAAAAAAAGTTAGTTTTGCTGCCCCAAGCGTCGAAGAGAAAAAAAAAGAAGAGAAACTCAAGTCATGCCGCCGAAGAAAGAAGAGGACAGGAGGACCCGCCACCAAATTGCTGCAGAAGACTGAAGCAGAGCCATTGAGCTGCCGCCGAAGTGCTGCCGATGAGGAAGAGAGGGACTGAAAGACCCGCCGCCGAATTGCCGCCGCCCTGTTTGTGGGGCCTGGGGCAAATTGCTCCCCCCCCTCTGGACAGCCCTGTAATCCACATGCATAGTAGTTAGGAAATGGAAATACTGTATCAGCAAGTGTATATACTGTCTACGTGCAGAAGAAACAAGATTCCATCTATAGTGAATACCATTAAAATCTTGATATTTACCACACCTCGGTATTTACCTGTACTGAAGTATTCCCTGTAATTTGAATGGGAAATACTTTGGTAGATAAAACTACTCTGAGGGGCAAAGGTCAAAAGTTCACTGGGGTCCCCCGTATATATTTGACAGGTTTCAGAGTAACAGCCGTGTTAGTCTGTATTCGCAAAAAGAAAAGGAGTACTTGTGGCACCTTAGAGACAAACCAATTTATTTGAGCATGAGCTTGAGCTGTAGCTCACAAAAGCTCATGCTCAAATAAATTGGTTAGTCTCTAAGGTGCCACAAGTACTCCTTTTCTTTTTGCGTATATATTTGGTTTCCTTGATCCATGTAGGAACCTGTTTAACTTTGTGGAAGAATGCCTGTGTACTGCCCTTTGATTGCTTGGAAGAAAAATATAGACCAGCTAAACATGCATATTTTTCTGTGTTTTTTACAGCAAACTCCTTCAGTTGGCCATGCAGAGTCACTTTCCACAGCACAGCCAAGCACACACATTTTCACATAATCTGCACTTTAACCTGTTGACTTGACAGCCAATATGTGCGGGCAACTGGATTCTGACACTGCAAATGCTCTTTCAATGCATGGCCTGTCAGTGTACTCCTATGACCACCATTCCATAGAAGTACAAACTGGCTCTGAATCTAATGTGTGTTTCCTTCTCTCTTTAGGGGAAGGCACTCATATATCCATCATGAAAGGGCTTTGCAGCTGCAGAAACAATTAGACATAAGAGCCATGCAAGAAAGGAAAAGAGAGGAGATACTATACCAAAGGGCAGGGTATGCTCAACCCATTCAGGCCTGGTAAGCCTGGCTCCCCTTTATCGTCTTTAAGATTACGTTCTCCCTGTTTAAAAATGAACTGCTTGTTGAGATTGATGAAGGACACAGAAAAGTTACTTAAACAGACATAATTTAATCAGCAACAGAAAGAAAATGGGTTCAAATTACTGTAAATCTATTTTTGATGACAAGAATAGTAAATTCATCAAGACACTATCAACTCTGTCATCAGACAAGATTCTTATAACTTTGTAACAGCAAAGTTAAAACCATGGAAGTAAAATAATTTGATACACAAAGAAAGCTGATCTACAGAAGCCAAAATGAGTTACAAATGCTGGTATAGCTTATGCCAGTTTCCTGAACAAAGTAAGATATGCCGGCAAAAACACTTCTTTGCTGGTATATCTGCATCTACACCAGAGCTTTTGCCAGCACAGCTCTGTTGGTCAGAAGTAGCGAGAAGGAAGAAAAAAAATACCACCTCTCTGACTGACAAGCTATGCTGGCAAAAGTTTTAAGCGTAGACCAGGCCTAACAAAGAATCATTTACTTTACCTTGTTTAAAGCAAGTACCTCACAGTAGATCACTATGGCTGGAGTAAATTATAACCACTGATTTGAACAATGTTCCTTTAATAAATAACAACAGTAACTTTCATCCATAATTCTCAAAGCATTTTACCAAGATGGATAAGCAACAACATACCCATTTTACAGATACAAGGAAAACAGTAGTTTAGAAAAGGAGGACTATCTTGACCTGAAGAAGAGCTCTTTGTAGCTCGAGAGCTTGTCTCTTTCACCAACAGAAGTTGGTCCAATAAAAGATATTAACTCAATCACCTGTCTACCTTGACATAAAACAGAATCTAACTGTTCTATCTAGGCCAGTGGTGGGCAACCTGTGGCCCGTAGGCCACACGCGGCCAGTCAGGGCAATCTACTGACGGGCTGTGAGACAGTTTGTTTACACTGACCGTCCGCAGACACAGCTGCCTGCAGCTCCCATTGGCCAGGGACGGCAAACCACAGCCACTGGGAGCTGTGGACGCTCAGATAAACAAAGCATCCTGTGGCCCGCCAGCGGATTACCCTCACGGGCCGCACCACTGATCTAGGCCCTATCAAATGAATGTGAAACTCTGGAAACATACACAGTAAGTTTGATTAATGTTGGTCTCGAAAAACCAGCTGTTTTGAGGAAGTGGAAGGAAGATTCTCTGATTCTCTCTCACTCTCAACTGGTCCCAATTGCTGTCTGAGGAGAGACAGCCCTTTGGTGCTAGTCGCTGTCCCACTCTGAGAAGCTATCAGAGGGACCAGTCAACAGCATGCCTTCTCGCCTGGACTCACTGACAGCTTGGGGAATTCACAATGAAAAGATGCCCCTTGTACATGGTGGCACACTGTGCCAAGACTGCCAAACCAGCCCTAAAACATGGCCTTTGGACTAATGCATGAACTGTCCTTATTTCGCAGGAAAGGGTGTGTAATTTTAACCTGAGTTAATTTATAAATTGAGAAATTTGCACTGCAATCAACTATCAATTTCCGAAGGAAAAAACGGGTCAAATTTAACCCAATGCAACCTCAAGTAATGTTTGGTGACTTGAGGAATGAATTTGACTCAATATCTAATCTTCTCACAGTACCACATTGTCCTCCATATCCCCAAGATTTGAACAGAGATGTGCTGGGCTAAAATCTCTCACCACTCTTTTAAAAGGGTGAACTATCTACTGCACATCTATCTTTGATTTTTAAATATAACGAGAAGGTCCTTAACACAAGATCCTTATCTTTATTACTGCAGCCAGTTCTTATCTGGCAAGTAAAGGATCATTACAGTGAGCCGATATGTCTTGAGCACTGATGCCTCAGCAGTGCAGATTGAAAGAAACACTGAAAAAAAAAGTCAGAAAACAACAGCAGTCTGCTCTGATCTAGTGAAAATTAAATGAGCTGTCAAACAGAGCCCTCCAACAGACAGCAGAGTCAAGAGAAGAGTGTCATGGGTACTCTTGGTGACATGGAATGTAAGGAAAAGCTTTCGCCCTGTGCAAAACAATGACATACCACTGGACAAGGCTGATCCAACCCAGGCGGGCCTGGTTCTCCTTTTTGCCCCTTGGCTCCTTTTCTGCCAGGTATTCCTCTTTCTCCCTGTTGACACAATAAAAAGATTAAGCCACACTGGACACAGAAGGATGACAGTTCAATTTTAATGTGAGAAAGACTTCCAGGGTTACCATTTTCACGGAATGATTCACAATGGGGAATAGATACACTGAAGTAGTTACGCTGATACAAACCACATAATTAGAACCAGTCGGAAATTTTCCAATGGGATGGGTTTCTGTTGGAAAATGCCGATTCATCAAAATCTAAATATTCTGCTGGAATGTTGATTTTGATGAATTTCCATTGAAAAAGATGCATATATGTATGTATGTACATATAGATACACACCGAAAAATGTATTTTCATGGATAAACTTTGGGCAAACAACTTCTTCTATTTACATTGTTTTAACCTTGTTGGCTTAAAAGGGTTGCCATGACTGTGTGGACAAAATCTGGCCCTTTGTGACCAGAAAAGATATAAAATATACTGACCTTCTCTCCCCTTTCACTTTTATCTCCTTTCTCACCTCGTAGTCCTGGGAAACCCTATCAAAAGAATTTTAAAAATGAGAAAGGTATTTGTAAGTTCAGTTCCAAACAACTCCATCAAATGCATGCTAGCTCACAAGGTCAATTAGAAAGAAATCACATATGTTACACACATCAGTGGCTGATTTCTTTGGGGGAAAGCTCATGGTTTAATATACCTTCATGGTATCCTATCCCCTGGATGGGGATTTTAGTTATTCTGATACATTCTTAATGAAGTTGAAATTCCTCATCCAGCTATTAGGTAGCATTCAATCAAGCTGTGGCACAGTTACATCTGTGGGGCATGAAGTAGAGTGGTCTAATGGCTGTACTGCAATAAGTGTGTTACAGTAAGTCCACTTCTCATCCACCAGATCTCTCCTCTGGGCACAGCAGATTTAATTGAAAATGAGAGATAAAGTGCTATATTTCCTATATGGAAAATAAGTATTTGTAAAATTAACACACCACCCATTTTAATGTTTGATGTTCCCAGATGCCACAATTAAAACAACATATCAAATACTTACATCTAATCCTGGTTCCCCTGGCTTGCCCTGGGGTTATAAAAAAAATAAAGAAGAAGAAAAGATGCCACATTAAGTGTCTCTTATGTTGTATGTAAACTTAGAACTATTTGGCAAAATAACTATGTCAACTCTGTGTCTTGTAGTTTTGTTGGGACTCAATATAAATGTACATAACTAATATTTAAGCAAACGGCTGGAGAGAGTTAAAGGGAAAGTATTTTTTGCAGCTCTGATAGGCAAATGATTTTGTATTGTTGTTGATAATAATGCTCCTTAATGCAGGTGCATGTTACCTGGGAACATGGGGAATGTGGACAAATTAAACAGGACCATTTAGAATCTTCTGTGTGTGACAAAAGTAGGTCAGAATTGTCCCTGGTGTAACTCTCTTGACTTCCAATTGATAGGAAGTGATAGAGAAAGAAAGAGAGAGAGAATTATCGGGTGGCTTGGAACCGTGACCTAAAGCTAGCTAGATCCAGATGATAAGGGACGGCATCACAGAATGCAGTTGTACATGCATATTAGATTTCTGTAAAGCAAATTTTGGGGAATTAAGAAATCTAGCGAGAAAGGTGTAATGGGAGAAAGCATTAATATCTATTCACGTGGAAGGTGGTTGGAGAATTTTAAAGATACTAATTACAGCACAGCTGACTACAGACTCCTTTGAAAAAGAAGAAATCTAGTAAACTAACCTCTTTGGATTTATACCAGGGATGAATTTGGTTCAGTAAGTCTATGATTATCTTTATCTTTTTAAATACAGTAATGTCCTAGAGAACACAGCATCTGAGATTGCCATCATTTGTGTCATACACATCTACTAGGAGAATAACAAATGTGTGCACAAAAGGAAAACTGGAGGGAGGTAAAGGGCCTTATGCTGCATTCTGCTGCTCAAAACCACATTTGGCTTACCTTTCTGTCTTATGAATAAGCTCTGTAGATGGAACCCTGCTCAGCCTATAAAGCTCTCTCATCAGATATCTATTCGCTAGTGATTTAAGTCATCTCTGAATATATGTACTATGATATTTATTTAACAGGGCTAACAGGAACCCAGTGATTGCTGAGGACTCTATGGCTGACAGTCTACTTCTCAGCAAAAATTGGATTTTTTAATAATTAAAATGACAATATAGTCTATAATTAGGGTATATTTGGTTCAACTTGAGAGTTAGATCTTTAGGAATTCTCTTCACTCCATTAGCTAACTGGCTTAGGAGATGGATGCCAAAGCAGACTGCAGAGTAGATTTCAAATTAATTTAATATTTTTGTGTCAAAGTAAAAATGTCTCAAAGCAGGTGTACACCCCTTAAGGACTGATTTCATTTGATTATGAAGTACTCATAATCCAACAATTCCATGGGTACCTAGGACTTCCTTTGTGTCACCATGCTGTATGCTGTGGCCACTCTGAATGTCAAAGAAATAGCAGGAATAGAACTAAGATCCTGCTGCTCCCAAAACACAGGCCTCTGCTACTTGAGCTAAAGGAGCACCTGTTAGCGGTTAACAGTATAGTGCCTGTGACCCACAGTTTTAAAATTCTGATTATACCCAGTAGAGAGCAGGTTTGCATATACACTCTAGTCAGTTCATTATAATTACAATATATTTTCATCTTCCCTTTCCCTACTGAATTATTACCTTCTCCCCTTTGGTGCCTGGTAAGCCAATAAGTCCCGGGGGACCAGCAGGACCCTAAAAAGAAAAGTGATCTATCAGAAGGATTTGGAAAACTGATACTAAAAGTTTTTTTGTAGCAAAAAAAATACAAGCTAGCAAATTTCCCACATACAAACCAAGCTACTCACAGGTGGCCCAGCGTCACCAATTGCCCCTTTCTCACCATGGTCACCTTTTTCTCCCTTTACACCATCCAAGCCCTGCATGAAAAGATGGTGACAGTTACCAAGGGGAGAGCATGTACATAATAGCATTGGACTGGGTAGGTTATAAATACCCTGGGCTCAATTCTTTTCTCATATTCTTTGGTGAAACTGCCATTGAAGGCCAGAGGAATTGTGCCAATGTGACTGAGGACAGGTCAGGACCAATGTAAAAGTGAACTGCATTATCTAGGATCAGGATTACAGTACTTGGACAAGGAAAAGGCCAGTTACTACATCAACTCCATTTCATGCAAAAGCAGTACAGTCGATACCTCTGATCTATCTGAAGTTTATCTCCCTGCCTCCCTGTAGACATATCATACTTTGCATTTATATATACAGTTGGACAGTAAGTTTTCTTGAATACATCACATGAGAAATATTTGGAACTAAAAGTTTAAATGTGTGGGTTAGGAAACAGTTTACATCACATGTTCTGCGCAGAGTAACAAAGAGGATTCAAGTTCATAAGTCGATTTGGAGGAAATATTGTTGATACAATATGGGCATAATTTTCAAAAATGTTGAGCACTCACAACTGCAACTGAAGGCAATGAATGCTTTTGGTGCTCAGCAATTCTAAAACCCAGCCCCTGTGTTTGATCATAGCCCTTTTTGTTCTCTCTCAGTCATGCACCAGCAGCCTGGAAGTATTGTGTGACAAACACTTAATTTATTGACTCACCTTAGGACCTGGGATTCCTTGAGGACCCTGCAGGGAAGACAACGGTGTATTTGAAAAAACAGATTTTTAAGTCAATTAAATATAATCAAATGCAATTCCCCAATCATTTTTTGTGTTAGACCCACAGATCTGTCTTTGGCAGTGATATATTATAATTATTTAATCTCAAACATTTCTTCTCAAGGTGGATGGTAGTTTTTTGTCTCTCTCAGACCAACTCAATAGGAATGAAAAATCATTTCTTGCATAATCACACAAAATCCTTGGAAATTAACCTTGGATAAAGAAGGCTACAGAAGGCTTTCTGAAGAGGGAAAATTATAAAGCGTTCTGTTGCTTAACCTGTACCCCAACATTAATATCCTTTTGAATCCAAGTGAATTGGAAAAGACCTTCAGGATCCCTTCTCCTGAAGCTATAGGTGGTATCTTAATTAAACGGTCTTTCAGAAGTCCTCCCTTATTCAGTGCCTCAGAATAGTTCCCAAGACATGCTGCCTCCTCCTCCCACCTACAAATGTGATCAGTACATTGACTAGTCTGTAATCTTCTGGCACATCTCAAGGCTCTGTTTTGTCCTATGTTTGCCACCTCCCTGACATCTTAGAGGTCTCTGTTGAAGAAGCTCAGGGGGTATCAATCCTACAATGGCAAAATTCCCTTGACTTCAGTAGGACCACAATCCAGCCTAATTTGTACATGTGTATATACTGATGACAGTTCTTGCCATTTCTATTCCTAAAATGCTGGGGCATGCGCTGATATCAACTGCAAATACAAGTCTTAAGGCCTATGATACTTAAGCACGTGCATTTGCATACAATTACACAAAAGTGCTGAAGTACATTCCTGAATCAGGGCCTGAAACACAGCATTCATACCTTTCTAGAGAAAAGTTTACAGAACACAAGAAATAGTGCTCAAGTTAGTTTGGGAACCACATTATGGCCCATTAGTCCCTAATTCTTCGGACTGCTCAATGAAGTCTGAAGTGCGTAGGATAGCAGACAATAAAGTGCTTCCTTTTTTAATAAATTTAATGTGTCAGTGAATTTTCAGACATTCTCTACTGTAGGTGCCGTTCGTCATAAACTTACCATAGGGCCTGGCAATCCAGGGGGTCCTGGTTCCGGTATGATCTGAAAATAGGAATTTCATTATATATTAAAGTGGGTTGTTAGCATGTACTGTATTGTGCCATATTAACACATGACTAGTGTGGTCATTGATTATTATTTAACTAGTTTTAGTTAACAACACCTGGATTCACAAAGGGGCTTGTCAAGGAGGAGAAGAATGACAATTGCTGGACCAATATGACAGCTGAATTATGGGATATTCTAAGATGGGTGCTTCTCAAACACTCCTATTGAAGTTCCACTTTAATTAAATATTGATTGGGCCAGAGAAAGCAAGAATGACTCTACAGGCTAGTGCGTTCACTTGCAAGGTGGCATTTCTCTACTCTAACCTCTTCTCCCCATCAGGCAGAGGGGGAACTTGAACTAGTGGTCTACTACATCCCAGGTGAGCATCCTATCCACTGAGCTAAAGGAGATCAGGGATGTCCTCCCTCCCGCTCTCAGGATTTTGTGTAGAGCTAGGTGGCCTCTGAGCATACCTACCTGACGGGGCCCTACAGGCAAGTTAGGCGTAGAGTGCCTATCTTCCCCCTGTTCTTGGATCACGCTGGGGCCTAGAGGCAGGCACCAAGGGAACTTTTACTGTAAAAGTTTAGGTGCTGAGTGAGTTTAGGTGCTTACAAGGTGAGGCAGCAGCCAAGCTGGATCATAGTGGTGCCTAAAAACAGGACTTAGGCACCTAAGTACCTTTGTGGATCCGGCCCTAAACAACTGAAGAACCTATTCAAACTCAATCCATTTTCTAGTCACAAAATACAAGTGTCTGAAATGTGATTTCTCTAATTTTCTTAGGAATCTATCCCTTTTCATGCAGACCTGAGAAGAATGGCTTCCTATTTGACTAAAAGCAAATAATCTCAGTTCTGGTGTAATTAATAAAAAGCTTTAATTGAAACCAACTTTAAAAAATAATTAAAAATGAGCAAACAAAATATATGTGTATATACTGTAAAACGGCAATAAAGTCACAAGAATAGCACTTAATTACCACATCACTGCTCAACACTTCAGTGATCAATGTACAATCCAAGGCTAAAAAGAACATTAACTTTGCATCTGTGACGAAGAATTGTGCATCAGTTCTAGTTGAAAATGCAGTGTTTTGCTCATTACCATTACTGTACCTAAAGAACTAAAAATATAACTGCAGCCTATGCACACACCGACTTCTTTTAATACTGATAGCATCAACAACACTGTGCTAATGTCTTACATGATTGTTCTGCAAACACGGGGATCCAGTTTCTCCTCTCTCTCCTTTTGGCCCATCAATTCCCTAAATGGTAAAAATATAATGCTGAGTTTACACATCCCAGGCTTCCAGAAAGGCTATAAGAAGAGAGAAAAATATATTTTCTTCACCTTATCCTGAAGTCTTTACTCAAGCAAAATTCTCATTCACTACAGTGGGACTGTTACATGAGTGAAGGGCATTTTGCTGAAATAAGGTTTTTAACATGGCCTCCCTACTGGGAAAGCTACTGTTTCCATTGTGTTGCTGAAGCTCAGGGATGACACAGACTTGTCAGGCTCTGATCCTGCATGTTGTGTTCTGCATGAGTAGACCCGATCCCCCCCGCCATCACCACAGAGCTGCACTGATTTTCACCCACATGGGGCAACTTGCACCATTGGATCCTTAATGTTTATGGCTCTGATTCAGCAAAGCAGTTAAGCACATACTTAACTCTAAGCCCTAAAAAGGACTGGAAGGGACTTCAAGAAGTCATCAAGTCCAGGTCCCTGGGCTGAGACAGGACCAAGTAAACGTAGACTATCCCTGACAGGTGTTTGTCCAACCTCTTCTTAAAATCCTCCAGTGACGGGTATTTCACAAATTCCCTTGGAAGCTTCCAGAGTGTAACTACCTTTATAGCTAGAAAGTTTTTCCTAGTATCTAACCAAAATCTCACTTGCTGCAGATTAAGTCCATCACTTCTTGTCCTACCTTCAGTGAATACAGAGAACAATTGATCCCCATTTTCTTTACAACAGCCCTCAAAATATTTGAAGACTATCATGTCCCCCCTCAGACTTCTTTTCTCAAGACTCAACATGCCCAGTGTTTTTAACCTTTCCTCACAGGCCAGGTTTTTTAAACCTTTTATCATTTTTGTTGCTCTCTTCTGGACTCTCTCCAGTTTGTCCACATCTTTCCTAAAAAGTGTGGCACCCAGAACTGCATCACTTAGGCACTGGCATGCCTAAGTCCCACTGACTTCAAATGGCAGTTAAGCACGTAATTTTAAGTGCTTTGCATGGGTCTATGAGAACTATGTTCTTTGGGGAGCTGAGAATGTGTTTCTTCAACTTCCATCGAAAACCTCTTGAGACATCACACATTGCTCCTTATCAAATCAACACAATTCTGTCCCCTCAAGTGAGTTTGCTTCACATTTTCCAAGAGCTAGTGCATTTTTCAACTTACAGTACTGATGGAAAACAGGTTGAAGAACAAGGTATCTTTCGTGACTGCTACTCAAGATACAAAACACATAGATGGAGAAAGAAGAACATGGGGAGAATGCCTAGCATAAGTTTGTACAATAATAATCATATCTTACTGTACTGTACTGATTATAGTATTACTGATGAAGAAACAACACTGTGGTGAACATGCAGCTCACTCCTTATGCCCCTCGCTAAAAATGTACCTCTTCTTATTCAGTTAATCACCTTTGTTTTCCGTCAGTGAATCATTTCATGTATTCTAAAAGTGATGTTAGCTAAGCAATGCCATTTGCAAATATTTCTTCAGCTCCTTGAGAGTTCTGACATATCATAGAATTAATATTACTATTAACAAGGAGAACTAAGCTTATGAGTTAACAGCAATATTGGTTTGATAGGGATGTAATTTAAACTAACAAAGCATCTAGATATATAACACACATCTATGGAAACAATATGCTGGAGGCAATAAGCCCAATGTGTATATACTGACAGACAGACATACCGGTAGGCCAGACAAGCCCATTTCTCCGATCTCTCCTTTTTGTCCCATTATCCCAGGGTTTCCTGGGTCTCCTTTAGATCCCTGCAGGACACAGAACAGAGCTTTATTAGGAGAAAGGTAGATCTATATCTATAGATACAGATCTATCAATCTAAATATAAAAGGGCAACAGATACCTCCCCCTTTTGCTCCCTCTTCTCCATATTACTACTTCTTCAGTACACATCAGTAAACATCCCTTAATATTAAACATTATAAATACTGATTTTGCAGTGCAGTAGAATTTAATTTAGTGGCTGAAGAGAATGCTGAAATTTAAGATTTACTAAAGAATTTGAGAGAGTGTCTCATGAGCTACACAAAACTAATTCAACTTGTGTGGGATCTGAACAGCATCCTGTAGACTGATAACTGACTGAAGGGGCCATAAGCAAAAGGCAATGAAGATTGCTGTCTTTGCATGCTCAGATTTAGTTTTGCAAACTGCACTTTGCATGGCTACGTAAGGAATTCTTTTAACTCAACTCCTACTATCATACCACAACAGTCATAATTTTATAAACCATACATCTAGTACCTTTTCCCCATCAACTCCAGATGGACCAGGCAATCCAAGCTCCCCCTAAAGCAGTACAAATGAATAAAGGTATAACATCAAATGAAACCAGAAAATAATTTCACAAAAGAACTGGATGTAAAAGTAAATTCTCTTTTTGTATGGAGTCTGACGGGCATCAGCTTATGAGCAGCGTGAGGTAGAAAATGGCAACTTTTTATTTCAAGTGAAGTACCAGTACATTAGTCAAGTAGAATTTGGATAGAACCGATGGGCAGAGATATACATTATTCTGAACCAATCTAAATATCATTTCCTAGTAAGATACTTTTGTGCATATTTGTTATAAGAAATTATAACTGATTGACTATTATTTATTGCCTATTGATCCTGACTGTGAATGAGGGTGACCATTTCACAAAGAGTGGATGGTACTGGTACTGTAAGATACTAAATATGTGTATGCGAAACACTCAGACATGCTAGGTGTGAGAACATGGCTTCTGATAGGAGAAAACAAGATAAAACTTAGAACTTAGGATGATCAATAGCCAAGCACAGTGCATACTCACAAGCATTTTCTTTATCAATGGGCGTAATCCAGACTCCACTGAGTTCAATGGCAAAACTCCCATTGACTTCAGTGGGGCCTGGATTTCACTCCAATATATACAGGAATGTGTATGGGCTCACTTCCAAGTACAGTATAACACATTCATTCAGACAAAGCCAGCAGAAGGGTGTTGGCCCAGTGATGCAGAGAAAAAAAAACAAACAAATATACTTTTGCATCTAGGTAAAAGGCTTCTGTTGTTCAGAGAGGAGGAGAATTTAGAATCCTCTCTTTCCTGCAGACAGACTCATGAGTTAAAATACCCAGGTTCAGTCCTTTCCTGCCTCCCACCCTTTGTGATTTGAGAGACATTTCTCCAGTCTTGCTCTAAGATGTCATCACAAGGGGACACATCCCGCCATAGTTCCACATGGAGAACTCCCATTGATTTTGATAGGAGGTTTGCATGAGGACCGATGTCAGGGTGTGGCGAGGGGGCACAGTATCTGCTGCATGCTGTATAACAGAGGTCAATCCAACCTTTGGTCCTGGAGCTCCTTGAGGGCCTGGTGGCCCCTGGGGACCTGGTGGGCCCTGAAAACACAGCAAAGAAAGATGGCATAAATATAACTGTCTAGAGTATCATTACTAATCCAGCACACGTTCACTTCACTCTGGGGATCAACCATGAGCGAGCTTCTCTTATAGGTTACGTCTGCTCTTGGAGCCAGGGGTGTGATTCCCAGCTTGATCTCATCATGCTGGGATGCTAAAAATGGTAACATAGTTGAGGTAGCAGGGGCAGCAGCAAGCACTGGCATAGGCTAGTACCCACAGTATACCCACACAAGCTGGAAATCACCCCCCCCACACACTCCAAGTGTGGACGTAGCCATAGATTTATAGTAATGTTTGTCTAACTTATCATAGCACAAATGCCCATGACAAGATCAGCTGATATTAAACAGACAAGGCTGTTTCCCACATCACAGGAAATGTTAACTCAAAAAAGACTGTGTCCAATCTGGTGTAGTGGGCCATGCTAGCACTGAAATACACGTGCTTAAAAGGCACACATTTCTAGATATAAGTAGATCTGGTCCAAAATCTGTCTTGTTGCCTGTGGGCAGGGCTGGCTCTACAGTTTTTGCCACCCCAAGCAGTGAAAAAACTGCCGCCGTGGCCGGCAAAAGGAAGAAGCTGCCGCCGATTTGCCGCTGTGGCCGGAGGAAGTGCCGCTCCTTTCTCAATGCCGCCCTAAGCACCCGCTTGGAAAGCTGGTGCCTGGAGCCGGCCCTGCCTGTGGGGATCTTATTTTATCCATCCCCTCATTACTGGCAAATCCTATGCTGGAAACACATCCAAGAGGAATGGTGCCTACCAATTCAGATGGACAGTAGACTAGATGAGGGAATTTTGCCTATCTATGGCTCAACGTGACCATGATGTTTGAAATCAACCAGCCAATTCAACTCAACTCTACTGGCAGGTGAAACATGAGTTCCATTATGCCACATATGAAGTGATTAAAAAGTAGTGGAAACAGAAAAGTGTACATGAATACTAAGAGCAGGAAAACCTTCTGCTAAAAGTTTGCAAGCTCATGTAAACTATTCTTCTTACTAGAGACCTTTGCAAAGCAGGAGTTTGAAAATCCTTTGATGGGGATGCAATTTGTCATTTATAAGGGATCCCTAAATGGCACCACATCAGACACCTACCCCTTCAGCTTGAAAACCAACAGTAACATGTTGCATTATTCTGAGCTCCTAGTCCCCATTGTTGTACTTCACAAGGTTACATTTAAACAAAACAGTTTTTAAGAGGCCTGTTCACTGAGAAGGAATGAATGGGTAAATAGGAGAAATGGCTGAGATCCCAGTGAATAAGCAGAAGAACGGTAAAGGCAAGGTCAGTGACATTTTAATAATATACCCCTGAGCATCTCAACATGCAGCACACATGAAACTCAACTGACTCAGAGACCGTGGGTCATTTTGTTAGTAAACTGAAACTCCAAACTTTTGGTGGAAGCTTTCCAATGATCTCAGTCCACAAATTCCATTCACAAGGCCACATGCTGTGCTATTCTGTCCAAGCAACCCATGTAGACATCTGGCATACAGTAATTACCATCACTTTATGTTTCCCTGCAGCCTGTTATAAAACAATAAAATGGTTTTCAAATGTGTCTGTAATTAAATATTTATTCTACTCAGCTTCTTTAATCTTTGCTAAATGGCAGCATTAAACGTGGTCTCACTTCTTTTCTTGCATAGCAAATACAGGCTACACAACAGGGGCATCATTTTCCTTTACATGAACTTCAGGAAATTTTCCTTCTGGATACTTTGTCTTATTGTTTTCATTTTATATAACTGACAGAGACAAAGGGGCAAATGGTACCCTCCTTTACATGTACGATCTCACTATAGTCATGGGCACAGATCAGATTTGGCTCAAGTCACTTTTGTGTCATTTAGAGAACAAGTACTTCAGTCGTCTCTAGGGGGGTGCTATGCAAAATGTTTGCTGCAAATCCTGAGACTCACCTGATTCAAGGTTTTGTGGGGACTCTGAAACTTGATTTACATTTGCAGATTTTTCAGGGCTCCTGGGTCAAGTTTTGTCACTGCACTCAGTCCTTCCACTCCCAATCAGCACCAGGCTGACACAGTCCTGCTGGGGCCTGCAATCCGTCTGTACTCTTAGCTCCAGTATCTTCTGGGGCTGGATGACTACTATTTCTACAGTCTCTGCTTAGTTGGGAGTAAGAACACCTGATTGGCTTGCTTCCCTTAGTCCCAAACAGGTCTTCTAGGGATAAATGTGTCAATTTCCCTCTGCATTTCCTCTCCACCCTGCAGCAGTTGAGTGGGAAAACCTCTTGTTCCTACTGTTGTGGCTGCTTTAGCCTGGAGCCTTAGCTAATACTTAGTCTAATTGGTCTAGATAATACTGAGTCCTGTCATGAGTGCAGGGGACTCCCTTCCAGTCCTACGATTTGATGATACCACAGGCTACACCTGCATGCTTAACAGGGAACAGAGTGGCATCTGACCTCAAACCCACTCACAGTGACTCAATATGTTCATGCACCTTAGCCCATATTGTAAACTTTAGCAAATCAGGCTGAGGTAGTCTGTGTTGCTTCTGTACATCCATCTAACCAAGCCCTCTCTAGTGCACACATCAGCGTGGTCTCCGAACACTGCAAACTCCTAGGAACGCACCTGATGCCCTCTGTCCTCTCACTCAGCCCTCCTGCCAGGCCACCCTTGTTCCTTAAATGGCCTCCTAGGTCAGGAGGAAGCATTGGCCTAACAGCTCCCCATTTCTTCCTAGAGACTGGGTGACCTTCACCATTTCCCCACATCTCTGGGGGCACTGTGTGGTCATTCCTACAAAGAAGTGCCTTGGGTGTGGCTATATGGTTTAGGCAGCTATGTCCACTATGTCCCTGTTCCCCTCTTCTATCTTCTGCAGGGTGTGATGACTCCCCCACTCCCAGTAGAGCAAGGAAAACACTTCTGCTCCCACTGCCAGACAGCTCTATTCTGTTGGGACTCTAAGAAGCCTCAAAATCCTTAGCACAGGGATTCCCTAACAATACACACTAGCGGTTTTGGGGCATCTTGGCTTTTGGGTGTCTTTCCCAGCAGCCATGCTAATGATTATGGGGCTTCTCTCAGGCCCAGATCTACGGTGATCAGTGGGGAAGGAGTAGCTTGAGGAAAGAGAGGGTCCTGTGTGGACAATGTGAGGTTCAATCTTCCTAGGTATCTTGCAATTCTTGCTCATCCGTCTGCAAGGTCCTGATCACTGCATCAACCAAACTCTGCAGGGTAAACTAACTTCCCCAGGCTACTCTAGCATATGTCTCAAGATCAGTTCTCTCTCAGATTCACTGGATTTCAATTGGTGCAGTAATCTCAGCTGGTTAATTCAATTCCAATTAAGAACAGGAGCACACAACAAATTATCATCATCATCTTATTGCAGAGGTACCTTGAGTGCATCCAGGATTCTGCCATCGTAGTCAATTATTACAGTATCTCCCTGTTCACCCTTCAGGCCAGGTGGACCCTGGAGACAAAGGCAAATTGCAAACTTTGTGGTAACAGCTATGGTGTTACCCCCTGAAAAGTGGGCAGCATGAAAACAACAGCTAGAACAGGGTTAAGTACTATTTTGGCCCCTAGATACTTTGGTATTTGTCTCCATATACATGCAATCGATACCAAGAATGCAACTATACAGAGCAAAGTCGGAAAGGACCTGGAAGTATAGGTTGAGTGACAGGCAGAATGTAATTACCTAAGCTGGCATTTGACTGGTACAGCCTCATTCTTATGAAAAAAAGTCATGGGATCTTTCAGTGACAGCAAGTGGTCAGCACCTCTCTGAGGTCAATAGTAAAAGTGGATGCAACTTAATTGACTTCACAGGAGCTATCTGCATTAATTTGGCTCAATATCTGTATGGTGATTTGTTTTAATATGCTCTATCTTCCATATTATTCTTATACAGTACTGAACCCTTCAACTATATGGCAACAGATGACAGACAGAGTTGGATGGAGGAAACTGACCCATGTTAAGGAGAATACAAGAGTCTAAATTAGTGAGGCAAAAACAAACGATCATATACCCTTGGTCCAATGGGTCCATCTCCTCCTCTCTCACCAGGATCACCCTGAAAATGAACATCACATTTATTATTCAGAAATAATAAGGAAAGTCAGAAGTATTATGAAAAAAGTCATTTACTGCATGTCAAATACTTATTTTAGGTAAAAGTATAGTCTCAATAAGAAACTCCAATTGGTCAAGAACAAATGGATTTTAGATATTTAGAAGCATATGCCTTGCTAAAATAACCTTAAAATAATCTAGCTGGCAACAAAAGAACCCAGCCTGATCAGATATAAGACAGCAAAACCATTTATACAGATTTGACTTAATGTATTTCCGAGTCACAAAGTGATGCCATTTCAATAGCCAAGCATTTAAACCTGAAAGTAAGAGTTCCTAATAGAGTGATACCAGCTTGAAGCAGAAGTACCAGCAAGCACAAATCAGCACTGCTACTATGGATTTAGAAGTAGAATGGCTAAGGGTTGTCTCCAGCCCTTAGTTTTGAATAGTTTTATGCATGATGGGGAGTATGACTGCTCTGAGCAGAAACATACTTGGATGCATATTCCATTAAAGCAAAAGCAGCTGTAGAGGAACAGCTGATCATGAAGGGCAGACATGTTATGTTGTCACTGCTCAATACAGCGTGGTCATGTTGGTGCATTTCTTTTCAGTTGTGAAGAAAAAGTAAAACTGTGAGACACACTAATGCTAACTATGTAAAATGGATATAGTATTAATCAAAACATGCAAAGCAGAGGACAGAATCTTCAGATTTCTTGCAAGACAATGCAGCCAAAAATGTCAGAAAGTGGTGATTTTGGAACTCTATTCTCTGTCTCAACCCACCACGAAAAGGTAAAATGTTAGTGAAAGTTTACAGGCAAAGTTTTGGTTTTTGCCATTTTAATGCAATTTTTAGAAAACAAAAGTTTAAAACTCTTGTTAAACTGAAACCCACTGCCTCAATGCTGTTGTGACCAACTTCCAGCTTAATGAACATGTGTTTTATTTACCTTTGATCCTGGCAATCCATCTATTCCTTTCTCTCCTTTGGGACCTGTGCTTCCTTGCTCTCCCTGAAAATAAGATAATTCACACTGAACCTTACCAGATATGAACTTTGAAGCCAAAACATCTTAAGTCTAACTTGATAGGACAGAAAGCAATTTTCTTAAGGTTACAGTACTTTTGCCTTATCTTAAACTTCTACACAGATACTGGAATGATCAAAGCTTTGCTTTTATTCTAAAAGGTCTTCAAGTGCTGCCCATGCCCAAAAGGGAATTTGAAAAACTAAAATAAAGCTTTCAGGCTTTCAAACACAGTAGGGGAGGACACATTCACCAGCAAACCTAGTCCCTAGTAGGCAGCCACCACGAACATGTGAACAATGGGAAACTTCCACAGAACCGAGTCTGCTATACTGTTGAAGTGAAGTTATTATAAAGACCACATACATCCTGAATTCCCACGTCAAGGAAATTCCCACTGGCTTTGCTTGATTCAGTTCTGCAAGATCAGGTTCTAAATGACAACTTGTAGCGTATGTCTGCACCGCAATCACAACCGTGAATTCATTAATTTAATAATCTGAGTTATGACTTGCAGGGTTAGCCTGTGCTGAAGCTTGTGCTGCTGCAGCTTCACTGCTCAGGTACCCAAGCTAGCTAGATTAAAGTGCAGGCATGTCCCCAAAAGCTGCAAATATGCCCCCTTGATAGCAGTGTAGACAAACCCTGTGTTATCATTTAGTTAGTGACTGTCAGCACTTTCAAGTCAACAGATAACAAACAAGTGAAAATATTTTAATTGGCATTAATACCCTAGGTGTTTAGATTACACGTCTATTGTTCCTTTTTTGTTCTTTTTAGTTTCAGATCAAAAGTGTCTGCTTATGACTCTCTGCTTTAGGAGCAATCTGCATTGACTGTGATATCTGGCCAGCAAGGGGTACCAGATGGTAAAAATAGCCACCAGGCAGACAGATATAGAGCTGAAATTTACCTTAGGCCCTTGAAGCCCTGGCTGTCCTGGGATCCCATCATCACCCTGGTGAAATAAAAATATACATAGTGTGTCTATCAAACCGTGAAAATACACAGGTGTCAATATGCCAGCCAATGTTACCACTGGGTAAGAGCTCAATTATACTTATCACCATAACTCTGATGTGCTCATGGGATAGAGCCAGATTTACAGGGTTTTTAGGTGCCAATTGGGATTTTCATAAGAGCCTAAGCAGGTTAAGTGCCTAACTCTGATTGGAAGTCAACAGGCCTTTGCAAATCTGGCCCATAATATACATGAAGATTCTACCTGCATTTTGGAAATTGAATGCATTATATTCACTAAGAATTCTAACTTGTCAAAAAGGAGATTCACAGGTTTAGCTAGTCACTTGCTTTCATTGTTACATTTAAATTAAAGATTGTTCATAACTAGAGAATGATAGAGTTTAACCCTTATATATTGAAGATTCGGAGCCAAATTCTGCCCAGAAACACACAAGTCCTTGATTGCCTTAGGGAAGTAAGGAGGAAGTAAGGCATGAGCCTTTTGGAGTTTTGGTTTCAATTCTCTGGGAGGCATTGATATAGAACAGCTTTGGGCACCAGTATAAAAACTGGATAGACAGGATTGCTCATGCAAGGCTCCCTGGTTTTTAGTGGGCTACTTAGAGCAACAGTAGAAGAGCAGACAGTGTGTGTGTAAGCTGCTCTCCTTCCTTGCCAGAGAGTATACTTTCTCCAAACACAGAGATTATGTCCAGTGGGCTCCACTCCTCAGAGTATGGTGATGTCTTTGTTTGGTCAGTCCTACGAGAGATTCAGACTGACCAATGCTGGCCTGATGGAGAGAAGCATTCTCAAAAATTCACCCATTTTATTTTCAATTAATTCAGCAAAAGGACTCACATCTACAACCTTGTATGGCATTTTGGCTATTTTATTCTTTGTCGATGGGGCTAATGTAATTACTGCTTCTGGGCTGATCACCATAATGAAAAACATGCTGATGGCACAACAATGTCTGTTTCAAGGTCACAGAATTGTTATTCTTTAATTGAACATGTGCTAGAAATCCTGAAGAATATAAAGTGTGAATCAGTGCAATCAACCATGACTAGGGCCTTGTTGAACCTTGTTTCTACAAATGGCTCACAAAGCATTTTGTGTGGCGGTGAACTTTTTTTTTTTAAAAAAGGAAGAAGAATCAATATCTTACCTTTCTCCCTGGAAAACCAGGCTCACCCTTCAAAAACGAAAAACAAAGGAAGGGAAATAAGAGAGAGAGAACATGAAATAATCATACTCATTTTTAAAATTATCAGTTGAAGTAGAAATATTGTTCTGCTATTGATCTACATTATCTTCTCCTGAAATGCCAAAAAATCCGGTGTGCCTACAGTATGCTAAAATTAAAAAAGCAAATTCCCCCCTCCTCATTTGAAATTTCATTGTTTTACTTCTCTTAACAATTAGCATACTTTCTGTCCAGAAGATGCAATTAAAAATTAACTTTTCAGTTTCCAGGCTATGGCCAATTTGATTCTCTGGCATTCATAGATGCAACTGATGAGGAGGAGATTACATCAAACTGAAAAAATGTGTGCAACCCTGCCCAGGCACATACAGGCATTTTGAAGATTCTGGCCTTGTTAAAATTAGAGGTTTAATAAAATGTTTACCACCTACCTTTAGTCCTGAAGGTCCCCTTACACCCTGTTAAAAGTCAAATTTATCAGTATATTTATTTGGAAATAAAAGCATAACAGGATTTAAAAATATATGTCTACAAATGTTTACAGCTCTGTAGAAAATGGCGAGGATGCCTATGTCTGTTTTTGTTATTTATCAACATTACTACAGACAAACAAACACTCTCAGTATCAATGCACTTTACACCACAAATAGTAAAGAAAATGCTCCCTAAAGATTTATATTTTATGTATGAAAAATGACCCATAAAGTGTTTTGGAACCTGACTCAGTACCATAACTCCATGCTAGACCTCTGCACAGAACAAATAATTGAAATGTTACAGGTGAACTTGTTGAGCTTGGTTATGTCAGCTATTTTATATTCCATAGTGGGACTCAAAAATATGGTCAACGGAGGATGTCCACAACACCAGTGCTTTCCAGTAATCTGCTGGTGGGGAAGCAGGTGATTGGTCAGTAAAGCAGCATTAGAGTAGTTTGTAAATATAGCTGTTTATGAGATAATATAGATTAGATTCCAGGCGGTGGGACAAATTCATCCCTGACATAAACAGGCACAACTGCCATGATCTATTGTCACATTGTGAGTCAGCAACACTAGTTATTTAGTGGGTTTCAGGATCTTAACAGACAGGTTTCCAAGTGGCTATCCTATGCGAGGAAGGGGAAAACGGTCCAAAGGGCGTTACAACAACTGTACCTAGCTGGGAAGGAAATCCCTTCACTCCATGGTTTGAGGAGATGAATTTAGAGCTGTTTGAGTTGTTGTAACAGGTGGAAATGAACTACTGTTCAATTTAAAAGGTGATAGAGAGTAAACAGTCAGTTCATTACAGTGCTAGCGTCACCACAGAATCATAGAAATGTTGGGCTGGAAGGGACCTCAAGAGGTCATCAAGTCCAGCCCCCAGCTCTGAGGCAGGACCAAGTAAACCTAGATCATTCTTGACAGGTGTTTGTCTAACCTGTTCTTCAAAACCCCCAAAGATGGGGATTCCACAACGTCCCTTGGAAGCCTATTCCAGAGTTAAATTACCCCTACAGTTAGAAAGCTTTTCTGAATAGCTAGACTAAATCTCCTTTGTTGCAGATTAAGCCAGTTACTTCTTGTCCTAACTTCAGTGGACATGGAGAACAATGGAGCCCCATCCTCTTTATAACAGCCCTTAACGTATTTGACGACTTATCAGGTCCCCCCTCAATCTTCTTTTCTCAAGACTAAACATGCCCAATTTTGTTTTGTGTTTTAAGTTTCTTCAGGTTTTTTTAAACCTTTTATTGATTTTGTTGCTCTCTGGACTATCTCCAATTTGACCACATCTTTCCCAAAGTGTGGTGCCCAGAATTGGACACAGTACTCCCGCTGAGGTCTTACCAGTAGAGCAGGACAATTACTTCCCATGTCTTACATACAACACTCCTGTTAACACACTCTAGAATGATATTAGCCTTTTTCATAGCTGCATTCCATTTTTGACTCAATTTGTGATTCACTATAACCCCCCAGATCCTTTTCCACAGTACTACCACCTCGCCAGTTATTCCCCATTTTGTGGTTGCACATGACCTTACCCACTCCACTGTGGGTGATACCTATGCTAAACCAAACACATCCAAGTAGATTCGGCAAAGACCTTGCAGCACTTACTACCCCCTAAGGTGGTCCCCTGGGTCCATTTTTTCCTGTATCTCCAGGGGGCCCTCTCTCTCTTCCATACCTTCTTTTGTCTGTTGACAATAAATTCTTCACAGTCTTCGCTGTGATTTCTCTGCTTCTTCTCTTGCTTTTACTTGGGATATCCAGGATAATTTTTTTCTCTGGTTCTTTGACCAACTTTCAGATACTGAGTGATCTTGCTTTTTGTTGCATATGACGAAGTAGGTAATCCAGAGGTGTAAAAAAACCCCCAAGAACCAAAACCAAAACCTAATATTTTTTAAAGCTGCAAAGGTGTAATACTTCATGGTCTTCTACGCGGTTCCGTGCTTAGAACTTTTTCTTCTCTCAACCTTCTTTTCTTGGTTTGAGGAAGGTGCAGGAAAACGAGTGAAAATAATCCACATTTACCAACGGTGTCCCTTAAGAATTAACCCTCCCCTGAAAAATATAAACTGTGTCCTAGGGGAAGTGGGTGGCACCAATGAATCATCATCATGTCAGCCAGATTCTGTTCCCAAATTTCACAATTAGATACTTGTGAAACTCATCTTGGCATTGTAGCTGTAGTGACGCTGGTAAGTAGCATTAACAACATTTTCACCAATTAAAAAAAAAATCTCAGCGGAAATAAAAACTACCCCAAAATTCACAAAATGCAAAACTACTTCCTTGACTAATTAGAATCCAAATTTTGGAAGTGTACCTTTTCCTGTATCTCCAGGGGGACCACAGAGGAGGCAGGGGTGGGGAAAGTGGGAGCAAAGGAGCTTTTTAGAAGAGCTAGAAGACAAGAGACTCACCTCTTTTCTTTATGGTGAAGTAGGGTCTTATGGTGCATCTGAGAGGGCTGAAGTATCAAGGCAGTATCTGATTGCTTCAGTTTCCTGTACAACTTTCTAAGCTCAACAATTGTCCATCTCTGGTAATGTGTAGCTTAGCATACTTTTTAATTAGCAAGCAATGGCACAAACAAAATAATTTGCTCTGTGTAGTTATGGAGGGGAGTAAATAGGACACCCAAGCCAAAAACTACATGCATGTCTGAGCTAGGCAAACATTCCACACTAATGAAGCATAATGAATTCATTTGTGCTGACACTACATGGCAGGAATAATACTACTAACCATCACTCCAGCTTCCCCTGGCTCTCCTTTTAAGCCCTGGGGAAAGAGGTTAACCAAGTCAGTGAAACTAATTACGGATATTTGCACCAAAACCCTTTATCCTCCAAAAAGTTAAAAAATAATTACTGAGAAGTTCATTGATTTTACATTCTGATTTTTTTTTAAATGAATTACCAATGAGTTGGAGATTTGCAATGGGATGGGTGAAGGTTGCTCATCAGGAAGGAAATAAACTTTGCTTTTTTATAAATTTAAAAAAATATTCTGACTTCTGATTTTCGGCTCAGAATACTACACAGCCTCCCTCCCCCTTCAGCTCCCATCTCTAGCCCACAACTTTTCCAGGATAATTAATTTCACCTATTGTGAAGCTACCATTTCTCTAACGACCAGACAGTTATAGAGAATTAAAGAGACTTATTAGGTTACATCCAGAGGAATCATTAGAAGCAGCTCTGAGGCCACCTATGGTGACTATTCTCCTCCAGTTGTGATAGGGAAAGAGAAACTCAAACTTTGTGGGCTAAAAGCCTAGCAGTGGTGAGCACTGCTAGTAACCAGAGCCAGCATGCTGGCACCATGCAGGATGGGCCCTCTGGGCAGGCATCCATGCTGCAGGGTAGGGTACACACTTTTGCCCTCTTTAAAGAGAAGCACACATTCCCTGCTAGCAAGTTCTGGAGACCCTGGGGCCTGGTTAGACACCCCAGCTGCCAGACCTGGTCTCCTGGCAGCCATACTTTATTCACCTATGTCATAGCTCCCTTTCCTAATGATCTCAAGTGCTAGGTGAGAATCCTAGCATATCCTGATGCAGCATCACAGGGCAGGAAAAGGCTCCTAATATCCCCTTCCCCTACTAGTACCTCCACATGGCCCAGAGAGGCATGGCCGTGTGCCAGGTGGCTCCCAGATGAAGTACATTGTGGGCATTCTTAGAGAGCACCCATTCTGTTTTACAATGTGAATACTCTGTATTTATCATTTCTTACAGGGAGGCCTTGTGGTCCCCTGGGGCCATCTTTTCCTGTATCTCCAGGGGGACCTCTTGCACCCGGTGGTCCTGGGGGACCCGGTGGGCCAGCAGCTCCATCTTGACCTTGATCACCCTGTAGGAAGTTCAGACAAACATTGTGATGTGAAAAAAAAAACACAAATGCTAACAGCAAACTAACTACACTGAGTAGGAGAGAAACCAGCAGGGGGCATGGTAGGGGGATAGGTCCTTCTGATAGCAACGCCAAAATTGTTTGAATGGCTTGTCCCATAGTGATGGTTAAGATTTGAAGACAGCCAGTTATGGTGCATGTGCGTACATGTGGGTGAGGAGAGCTCTTCCACGTGGATCATGGATCACATCTCACCCTAGCTTTAATGCATGGTGACAATAAGGCAAATTTGACTGGATGCTTTTTAAGGTGAATGCCTTGGATACAGCCTTATAGTAAAGGATTATAGCATCCTGGAAGAATGGCCCCAAACACTGCATGGGGACACTGCATGGTTTGGGTGAAATTACTGTAGGCTACTGAAAGGTTTTGTTTGGTTAAATAAGAGACAGTAGAGAGAACCTGTGAAAAGACTCAGATTCCTCCAAAGTCTGCAAGAGCACTGTGGCATGCAGGGGTGTGTCTAATTAGAAGGCTACAACTGTAGGTCAAAATTCTCTGTTCAGATCTGCCAAGCAGATCTCATCTCTAATATATGCACAAAGCTGATGGTTTGTTCACATATCCAAGAGAAGTTTGCCCCTTAGAGTTTTATTGGCATGCAGGGAACCTGTTAGCTCTGTGGGTGATTTTCAAAGATTTTGATCTGACCCATATTTTTCCAAAGACTATCCCAAAGGATTTTAACATTGAATGTCCCAATCACGCAATCCCTATTCAGACAAGACTCCCAATGGGCCATTAAGGTCTTTTTTTTCAGTTTTTACTGATCCCTTATTCAGGATTTTGACCCACAGCTTCCAGCAGGAGTTTTGTCTGAGTAAGTTGTGCAGGACTGGGCCTCATAGCAAATACGAGCATAGAAAACACTTGTACTACCACCATTTAGTAGATAATAAAGGAATCAAAACATATTTAATGACATCCCTCTACTACAGTGGTTCTCAACCTATTTACCATTGTGGGCCGTATATGTGGCCTACAATGTGTTACGTGGGCTGCATCCATTACTACCTGTATGGCTCTGAGGATGTCACATGGGCCGCAGCTCTATGCTGAATGGGCCACAAGTGGCCACAGGTTGAGAACCACTGCTCTAATACAACTGAAATGTAATGATATTAAAATGCTCCACTTGCACCATACTTTGCCAGGAGATAAAGAAAAGATGAGCCTATGTCTCTACTTGAAATTTTAACACTAAAGAATTTAGTAGTATACACTTGTTTCAGTTAAACAGCCAGAAAAGCTTGTTCAGAAGCAGGAGCACTCCTGATCTCAGAATGAATTTCACTACTCAGATTACCAGCTACTGATCCCCTGGTGAACGCCAATAGCCCAGCCTTTAGGATCCAAGCTGATTGTTCTGACATGCAGAGTTAACAGTAGAAATCCCCATGAAAAGGTTAGATCATAACTCTTAACAACATCTGGACAGGATACCAATCTGAACAAGACAGGAACAGAATTGTGTTTAATATGGTCCACCCACAAATCAGGGAGGGATTTTCAGAAGTGCCTATGTGAATTGGGAGCACAAATCCTATTGCCATTCAATGTGATTCATACTCCTAAATGACTCAGAGACTTGAAAATTCCACTGCAAATCCTGAAGACTCTACCCAATTTTGTCTCAGACAGGAAATCTCCCACTGCATTTTGCCTAAGTAAAGAAATTCCAGTTAAGACTTGTGGATTTGGACTGATCTATTTTATTGTGTGATTACTACTATTATTCATATGGTGCAAGTATAGCATACAGAACTATCCTTAATCTCCCCTCTTCCCCCCCATGACTCACACAAAGAGCCAGACCCTCAAGGCCTTAGTTTTCACTCCTTCCTTACATAGGCAGAACTCTCACTATGTTCACACGGAATTTTGGTTGAGTTAAAAACTGAGCAGGCCTCTCAGGATTTGGCTCATTGTATTTATAACTTACAATGGCAATAAGGTGCTATTAGCTAATAAGGAAACATAATTCAGAAGGACGCACAGCAAGCCAGAAGACGTAGATTCAACACATCTACCTTAAGGATTCGTCGGCTAAAGACATGCTGGTCATTAGAGAGAAATCCATGATTGAGGCGAGGAAAAACCATCTAGCCAGGTGAGTGAGACGTAGAGCGTGAAAGATCAAGAAGTCAAGACAAAGGTTACAGCATGGGAGTGATTTTTAAAAGGTTCAGCTAATATTATCTTACAAAGTAACTTTGCCAAGGAATAAAGAAATGACACTGGAGGAAATAACCAAGAAAGAGAAATAGTGAGATTCAATGATTCAATTGGAGGCTTTGTAAGTAACCAAGAAAGAGAAATAGTGAGATTCTTTGATTCAATTGGAGGCTTTGTAAGTAGCAAACACACACATGAGAGTGAAGTCTTTTCATTAGCTTAATGCAGAGGAGGGAATTCAGAGCTGGCAGGGTACAGAAGAGGTTCCCACGTCAGAGTTTCACTATACAATAAATACATTATTCCAACAAGACACAACGGAAGATATAGCCCATTGGAAGATACCCCCCCGATCTCAAGATAGCAAATACATTATATTTCCTCAGTAGCCATAATGAATATTAATTGATTCCTCTGCCCCCAACCTACTAATAAATCTTACAAATTTACTGGATGAAAAACAATCTATTCAAGAAAATGTCACCATTCATTGCTGCTTTTTAAAAGCTGGATATGTATCTATCTATAGAGAAAAGGAGTACTTGTGGCACCTTAGAGACTAACCAATTTATTTGAGCATGAGCTTTCGTGAGCTACAGCTCACTTCACGAAAGCTCATGCTCAAATAAATTGGTTAGTCTCTAAGGTGCCACAAGTACTCCTTTTCTTTTTGCGAATACAGACTAACACGGCTGTTCCTCTGAAACCTATCTATAGAGAAGTGCAAAAGACATTTAATTTCTGAAGAGACAAGGTGGGTGAGGTAATATCTTTTATTGGACTAACTTCTGTTGGTGAAAGAGGCAAGTCTGATCTCCACAGAAGTTGGTCCAATAAAAGATATTACCTCACCCACCTTCTCTCTCATATCCTGGGCCAAACACAGCTAAAATAATGTTGCAAACATTTCATTTCTTAAGAGCTCTCTTCCCCCACCAGATTCATGTGCATGAAACTTTAAGTCAAAATATTGTGAGCTGAATATGACAGATTTGTGTTCTAACTTTCTATCTGAAATTTGAGTTCGGCGAGTGCAGATCACCTAGTTTTCCTTTCTTGAGAGGACAGCAAGGGATACTTTTCCAACTTCCGTCTCAACTACAGACTCTGGGAACATTTTTGTCAGCTTAACCATGGCAGCCTGTTGCTAGCCAGTGTCTGTTTCTATAATTTCCCAAGGTACCAGAGGGATATAACACACATTATCAATAACATCTTTCTTCAAGGGGCACTGACAATGCTGAGGACAAGTGCTGAACACTTAACTGAAGGTGGAAGTGGTCGGATATTGGCAGCTGAGTGGGTATGAGACTGAGTTGCACAGTTCTTGACACCTTCATGACATGTCCAGATGATAACTCCTGTCTCCTAAACTGCTAAGCCAATATGACGTCAATTAAGCTATCATCAACCAGGCTGTTACCTTCAGATCGGGAAGTGGCTTCGTCATTTCTGGCAAAGCTTACAACTTTTCCTTTAACTTTGCCTTAACCTGACATCCTCCAGTGACTCCCACTATAGTGTCTTTTGCCCTGCTGCTAAGAAGTCTACTACTTGGGCCAGTCAGTAACACATACACAAAAAGCATAACATTTTCTCCTTCCCAAGAACAAAGCATGTCACTGGCCACACGCAACAAATCTCTACTGGCCTAAACATTCCCAAGTCCATCACTCACTTGAGTGTAAGTCACTTGTCTACACATGTGTATTGTCAGAGAAAATGAGATCATATGATATAGGACAATCAATAAATCTAGAGTAGATAAAACAGGGGCTTGATTAGAGAGAATAACCATACCTTTGAGAAACAGAACTCCATATTTAAGTGGTGGGTAAAAAATTCCCTAAGGTAACATCCTGTTCATCTCTCCCAGTATAATGCTGGGATCCAACATGAGATGAATATCTACTGTTCATCTCTCTCAGTAAATAAATGAAAGAAAAGGTCACAGCTAAAGTTATTGATCCTGAAAAGACTTATGCATATGAGTAGGCTACTAAGGATAGTTACTCACACGTGTAAGCGTTTGCAGAATTGGCCACTCAATTCTCAAAAATTAGCACATAGTACCTGTATAAGGTAACTATGTGAGCAAGAGTTACATCCATTTATGCAATTATCTGTTTTGGACACACATTTTACATAGGTGCAGGTTATAGAAAATTAAGCCCTAATAAAGTTTATTACACCCAAGGACAGAAATAGAGTGCACAGCAATGAATTTTAGTAGTTAATCTTTATTTGCGTTGATCTCATTTTCACTGTTTGTTTTCTCGAGAACATTCATGAGTATTTATTTTTTCTAGTCTTTCCATACTCAACATAGTGTGACAAAGTTCCTCCTCTGCCTTGGTGGGTCCTGTGCTTATTGGTGGATTTGCTCGCCTCAGAGGTTCACGGCAGCCCTCAGTTTGGCCACTTTCATGGCTCAAATCTGCCGTTCACTCAGTTAGCCTCATCACTGGCCAGCATGGGGAAAGGAAGAAGAACAATCCCTGCAGTCTCTGTTGATCCACCTAGTGGATCGGGGAACAGGCCAGAGACCTTCCACTCTGGTGGAACCCACAGTCCAGTTCAACTCCTCCGGTATCAAGTAGGGAGTTGGGGGGGATGGAGGGAACCCGGGCCCACCCTCTACTCCGGGTTCCAGCCCAGGGCCCTGTGGATTGCAGCTGCCTACTGTGGCTCCTGTAACAGCTGTGTGACAGCTACACCTCCCTGGGCTATTTCCCCACGGCCTCCTCCCAACCCCTTCTTTATTC